AATTTTGACCTAGTCCAGTTTATTGCAAGATAATTCACCAAATAATTCAAATAATTAAATTTCATCATATAAGGAAATAATTATTTAATTAATATGAAATTATCTTTTATTTTGGCAAGGATAATAATCCAATATCATAAAAATCTGATTTATATCAATAAAAAACGTTTTGGTAACTATCCCACAACCAAAGGAGCATAAAATCCCGAAATTACCTCTTTCGGACCAGCTGACTCGTCGAGTCAAGCATGGACTCGTCAAGTCAAGCATGGACTCGTCGAGTTCACCATGGACTCGGCGAGTTCAGCCATGGACTCGGCGAATCCAGCCCCCATAAACCCTAATTTTCGATTTTAAAGCATGAATAATCAACTATAGCATCAAATACATCAAACAAACAACCCTAGTCTCTGATACCACTGATGGGTTTTTGAGCAATACATCATTCCTATGGTGTACATGCAAACCCTAATAGCTTTTGGATCTAGTTTGTCTAATGAACATGCAATTGAATATCCAAAGCTATAAACCCTAGATCTAGCATACAATTAATCATATTAACATAAAATAGGGTTTAGATCTAAGCTTTGATTGTTATATAGCAATAACAATCTAATCCTTGGCTTCAGAAACCTTAGTGCCTCAAGTGTTGCACCTCTAATGGAGTCACAAACACCACTAAGCAACTTGGATGAAAAGGGAGGAGGGAGGAGGCACCAAAAATGGCTGGAAACCCTAAAGGAGCTCTTAGCCACGTTTTTGGGGCATAGGGGCCCTTTATATACATGTAGGCTATTAGGGTTTACAGCTAGGGAACTCTAATCTGACTGCTTAAGCCCTAAGCATCCCATGGACTCCTTAAACATATCCCTTAGACGAATTCCTTATGGGCTTACCATAGAATTCGTCCAACCTATATATTATTACGTAGTCGATAGCCCAATTCTAATTATCTTATGATTACAACTCCAGTCCCCTAAGTTTAATGAATCTCTTTTAACCACAAAATTAATTCTTGACTAATATTAATTAAACATTATGATTTCTCGTTTAATATATTATTCTTATAATATATTAACAAATCATAATTAAACATTCTCTCTTTAATTCATCCTACATATTGCTATGGTGAAGGCAACCCAAAAGGACCATGCTCATAATCGAGTCAAGTACATACCAAAATAGTTATGGACTTAGACACTAATCCAACACTACCCCTTTTGCCAAAATCAAAAAAAATGCCACTATGGTCCATTTTTGCACTCTTCATTATACACAAGGACTAAAATGCCATATTTATTCATGCATAGGGTTTAATTCAAAATTTCCTCAACATCGGGATGTTACAATTCTCCCCCACTTGAACTAAACTTCGTCGGTGAAGTCTGCTGTTATGAATAAGTCAAGATAATGATCCCGCATCTCTGCCTCTGGCTCCCATGTCTACTCGAAGTCTCTCTGATGTTACCATTGAACCATTACCAAAGGTATCTCCTTGTTGCACAAGACCTTCATCTTTCTCTCCATTATCGTTGTCGGCCTCTCAGTATAATTCAGACGCTCATTGACCTGAATATCATCTAAAGGGACTACTACCTCATCATCTAATACGCACTTATGCAATTGCAAAAAATGGGAAGTTTTGTGGATCTGATTGAGCTCCTTGGGCAGATCCAATCTATAAGCTACCTTGCCAACCCTGGAAATCACCCGAAATGCCCAATATATTGGGGCCCCAATTTTCCCCTGTTATTAAAGTGTATCATACCCTTCTAGGGTGAGATAATCAGTAGCACCATATCGCTCACTTGGAACTCCAACTTTGATTGATGTCAGTCAATGCAACTCTTATGTCGACTTTGAGCTATCTGCAATCTCTTCCTAATCTAGAGGATGAGCTCTGTGGTCTGGAGGACTACCTCAGTCCTCCCCATGAATCGGTGACCAACCTCCACCCCCCCCCCCCCAACAAATTGGGGTACAACATCTCCGACAATATAGAAGCTCATAAGGCAGTGCACTAATGCTGGAGTGATAGTTGTTGGTGTAGGAAAACTCCACAAGAGTTAGGTAGGAATCCTATCTCCTACCAAAATCAATGACACAAGCCTGCAACATATCATCAAGTGTCTGGATGGTCCGTTCACTCTGGCCATCAGTCTGCAGATGATAAGCAGTGTTGAAATGTAGCCTCGTACCCAGTTCCTCGTGGAACTTCTACCAGAATCAGGAAGTAAACCGAACATCTCAGTCTAACACAATGGAAACTGGTACTCTATGATAAGCAACAATCTCTCAAACATACACACCGGCCAATTTCTCAACCGAGGAACTCTCCTGGATGGCCAAGAAGTAGGAACTCTTAGTCAATCGATCCACAATGACCCATATAGCATCAAAACCCTTGGCAGTCTTCGGTAGCTTGGTGATAAAATCCATGGTGATCTATTTCCACTTTCACATGGGAACCTCAAAAGGTTACAACTTTATATGAGGCCTCTGATGCTCGACCTTGACCATCCTACAGGTCAAACACCTCTCAACGTACTAGACTGTCTCCCTCTTCATATACGACCATCAGTAACTTAGTCTCAAATCCTGATACATCTTGGTGGCTCACATATATATCGAAAAGCGAGATTTATGTGCCTCCTCCATAATATCTGCCTGATCTCGCCAAAAACCAAAACCCATACCCGACCAAGTCGAGTCAACAATCCCTAGCTATCGGTGACAAATCAGTTGATCTTTCCCCAAATGCTATCATGTTTCAAGTTCTCCTTCTTGATCCTTTCTGTATGTGCCCCTGTGGTCAAATACAAAAGTAAAGAATCAATGGATATCCTCATACACATACCCCCAACTGAAGATCCCGCCGACTTGCGACTGAAAGCATCTGTGACCACATTCGCTTTACCTGGATGGTAAAGGATCTCGCATTCATAATCCTTGCCCACGTCAAGCAACCTGTGTTGCCTCATGTTCATGTTTAGCTGGTCCATAAAATATCATAAACTGTTGTGATCCATGTAAATGGTACAACAAACCCCATATAGATAATGTCTCCAAATCTTGAGGGCAAACACCACTGCCCCAAACTCCAAGTTATAAGTAGGATATCATGACTCGTACGGCTTCAGATGTCGAGAAGCATACGTAATCACTCATTCGCCCTGCATAAAAACTGCCCCCAAACCAGTGATGGATGCATCACAAAGTACCACAAAATCCTCAATACCCTCTAGAAGGATCAACACCGGGGCCTCACATAACCTCTGTTGCAGTGTCTCAAATGTCATTTGTTGCTCACGGCCCCATCAGAAATCCACTCCATTCCTTGTCAAGTGAGTGAGGGGTACAACAATATTAGAGAAATCTTGGATGATTCTTATATAATAACCCACCAAACCCAAGAAACTCCTGATCTCTGAGGTAGACTTCGGAACCTCCCACTGCATTACGGCCTCAATCTTGGCCGGATCGACCAAAATTCTATTTTGGTTAACGAGGTGCCTCAATACCTGTACCTCTTGTAACCAAAACCCACACATCGATAACTTGGCATATACCTATTCCCGCCTCAATACTCCCAAAAGCTCTTGAAGGTGCTCTTCATGTTGCTATCTAGTCTTGGACTACACCAATATATCATCAACAAAAACAATAACTGCTCGATTGAGCATCCATGTGCATACCCAATTCATCAAGTCCATAAACATTGTAGATGCATTAGCGAGCCCAAATGGCAACACCACGAACTCATGATGCTCATATCAAGTTCGAAACATGGTCTTTTCTATGTCCTAATCTCTTACCATCACTTGATGATACCCTGACCTCAAATCAATATTGGAGAACCAAGATGCACCCCGCGACTGATCAAATAGTTTGTCAATCCATAGAAATGGATAACGGTTCTTCACCATCAACTTGTTCAACTCCCAGTAAGTAATGCACATCAGGTATGAACTATCCTTCTTCTTGACGAACAATATCAATGCTCCCCATGGCGAACTGCTCGTTCGGATGAATTGCTTTCCTAACAGCTCCTGGATCTGAGAGGACAACTCCTGCATCTCATGGGTGCCAAACAGTATGATGCTTTGGAATTCGAAGCTGCACCTTGCACCAGGTCAATTCTGAACTCAACCCGCCTCTCGGGAGGCACATCGGGTAACTCCTCCAAAAACACATCAGTAAACTCCTTAATGACGACAAATCTGAAACCAATGCATGATCCCCAAACATTGTATCAACCACATAGGCAAGATAACCCATACAACCATGCTAAATATACTATCAAGCCTTAGCCTCCGGAAAAAACCCTGACCCAATCCTGGTACCCTCTCCATTGATAAACAGTTCTCCCCCACTTGGGGTTCAAACTACCACTCACTGATCCTCGCAGTTTATCATAACACCAAATTGCTCAGCCAGTATATCCTTACTATCACACAGTTAGGAATCAGATCGATCGTATACGGCACCCCAAAAATCTTTAATACACAGTCCTGGTAGACGCTCAATGCAGAAACCCCAGGTTCGTTAGCGATACAAACCCACAATAGACACTCTAACTTTACGATTCATAAAGCACCCCGTAAGCTAAATCTATAACCCATACGGTCTAAAGATGACAACATAATATTTCTAACAAGCTACTACATGGATGACTATCCATTCAAAACTAAATTGGGGATAAAAATTTTGTACCTGAGATTTCATGCATTTCAACCTTGATCTCCTACCGAATGGTGGACATTTGAGATTGTACTTCCTCTGCTACTCATGCAGGACAGTCAGGTTTTACATTACTCGACTGGTGACAGTGGAAACACATCCAGTCCATCTTGCAGTCGCGAAACACAAGCTCTCTCTCCACACTTATATCATTTGAACTTGTGACAAGCAAGCCTGTAAGTTCAACAATGGACTTCTCAAGAGTGGAGATATAGCGGTCTTGAGTAGTAACATGATTCTGCATATGATCCAATTTGGCTTCATAGACGGAGTCTAGATTGGATAAGGACTGAATGAATCCATCTATCTTCTGATTCATCGGAGAGAGTTTCAATAGTGTTATGAATTTTCTGATCTAGAGTTTCAATCCTACGCATGTTGCGAGCAACTTGTCCTTTGATATAAGCAGTTGTGTCTTCAAAATCTTCAATAGTGACTTGAAGTGTTTTGACCCGTGATTCTATTTTCTCATTGAGGATACACATATTTTCTTCCGTACATTCAAGATTTTCTTGAAAGCTCTGCAGATATTTAAAGTGAGAAGATGTGTAAAAGCGAATATCTACAATACCATCAACTACCATTTGGGCAGTAAGTCTGATGTGCTCAAGCTCTAGTTATGTGGTATTGGCTTCATATGTTTCTTTAGGAGTACCGTCGTCCTGAAGAGGATCTTGCTGAAAGGAGGAGAGATTTGGTTCTTGAACATCATCCTTTTTCTTGAGACTGTTTTGGAGTGGGAGGATAGTAGACATCAAGATCAATGTTAAAATTCCTGGTAGATGCGTTGGAGTAAAGGACAATGGACATGTCATTTGTCTCATCATCGACTAGCAGTTCTTCACTGGAAGGAATATCTACCGCCCGCATTGGAGTATCCTCGTCATGATTATCTTGTATAGGAGAACCTTAAGGAAACGTTTCTGCTTTGGATTGCTTATCATCATGTTGGTTATCGTCCTCAATTGAGTCATAATCTAAGAAGAAATGATGGCTTGGACTTTCTAGAACCGACTGAATGCGTGCTGGTGAAACTGGAGCTGAAGAAGATGGTTCATCATAATCAGATGGAGCTTGAAACAAGGAATCTAAGAAAGATAATGACTTAGAGGTTGTACCAGATTTAGGAAGAGATGTGGGTTCCTCTAAATCTGCTCCAAGATTATCATCAGAGATGGCTGGAGATGGGATAGGGGCAGTTGATTTGATTTAGATTTCTTTTTCTTCTTTGCCGATTTCTTGGATGCATTATCGGAATGCTTCATCTTCTTTTTGGGAGGCGAAATAATTCCCCGGATGTATTTTTGATATGAGTATAGAGAAGCATTGTTTTCATCCAGCTTTGTAAGAATCGAATCTGGAATGATGACTGGTTGTGAAGATCCAGATTCAGATGTCATACAAATCCGATATGGTGTCATAAACAAGAAGTGTGGCTGTGGGCCTTCTCGAATCCATCGTGGTGTAAGATTACTATTATGGATGGCGTCATAAATAATGATAGACCACCAGCGAGGATGATGAATCAAAAAATTATTCTTTGACGCAAGGAGAAAATTGAGGAAATCTTCCCAAAGAATAAACACGTAGTCAACATTGATGTCGTAGAAGAGCCCGTACATAAGAATCCAAAGGTCTATTTTACCGCGACAACGTCCACCAACTGATCTGAAGAGGCATCTAGTGAGGACGGAACTGAGAAAGGGCCATGGTCTGGGAAGACAAGATTTGTGAATTTTGAAAGGAATGGTTCGTTTTCATCTTTAAATTTATACCCCATTCCTTGAACATTGTCAACAATTGAGCAGAATTTGGTGTGACAAATGTCTGAGGTTTAAAAGAAATATCGCTTAGACCTAAAGTGACTGTGAACTCTTCTTTAGTTAGAACCAAGATAGCTTGAAAAAGATCAAATTCAACATCAAGTTGTTTGGACCTTGCTCTTGTAGAGATGACTATTTATTGAAAGACTTCTGAGATAAGAGATTGTGGAGTTAGAGAAGTAGAAAGAAGTGCATATGATAATAGGCATTTTTGCAGATATTCAACTATAACACTGACTTCTTTGGGTTGTTCCTGAGTGTTAAGAAGTGCAATATAGTTGGATGCAGCCATTTCAATTTTAGTTAATGACAAGTGTGTCTCAATTGAAGGTCCAGTTGCATGAGACTGTGAAGCCTTTTGAGAAAACTTTGCTTTAGAAGTTTGTCCATCTTCTGTGGAAGCCATGTCTTGAGAGAATGGAAGAAGAACAAACAAAAATGAAATGAATTATTAGTTAAAGAAAATAAGTTAGAGATCAGTTAGCATATAATCTTAACTAAATTCCAAAAAAGAAAAAAGGGAGGTGGGCGTGTGAATTTGCATTAACTAAACAAGGCTGTGACTTGAGTAATGTTGTTGAGTCAACTATGGACAATAAGAATCTGCATATTCATTTTCACTAAGTATATGCCATAAAGTAAATTACATGACATGTTGAAATATAAAAGAAAGAAATTGATGTCATATAAACCAACAACACAAAAAAAATTGATGTTACTAAATCATAGCAAAAATGCAAGGATCAAGTGAAACTGCTAAGTCATGACCTATGATAACTATGGCATATCAAATAAAGATGTCTTTAGAAACTAACAGAAAATTAAGTATCATAGAGACAACAGTTGACAACTATTTATGTAAATCCAAGAACACATAGAATTGTGAATGGATGTAGATAAAGTTGAAAAACGAAAGAAAAAAATATATGTTGATCCTAAAATAACATATAAAGATGTGAAATTTAAGATCACATAAGAGTAAGAGAAGAGACATTACCTTAAAGAAGATAGGTGTAGGTAATAGACTTGTGAGTATGAAAAGCAATATATGCACCAATAAGTATAATGCTCACAGGAAAGATTTGATCAAAGAATCAACACTAAATGACCTAAGCATGGTATGTGAAGATGAATTAATGATCAAGAAGAAATAAAAAAAAAATAAAAAACAAAAAAAAATTGAAAAAAAAAAAGAAAAACAAAAATGCTCACCCAATATGATTGCAACAAGAAGAGGTGTTCACTTAAAAGAAGTGACTAGTCAATACCAGAGGAACCTAACCATAGGAGCATATGTATAGACATGAATCATCAACTAAGGAGGGGTAACCTTATTATATGAGGATATGTGAACATGAAAGAGAGATGTTACTTACCATTTGATGTCTTGTTAAATCAATGAGCAACAGAGAGATAAGTCAACACAAATGACACAAGAGACATTCAAATCTATGTTATGTCAAGAGAAAACAAAACTCTAGAAAGTGTACACCATGATCATCATGTATAAAGAGGAATAATGAACACTTACCTAGAGTGATCAAGGAATGTGATGCTCAACATAAAATGATGATGGACCTTGTTATTATAATCACAAAATATATGATACCAACTAAAGAAATGAGAAAAATTCAGTAAACCTAGACTAGAATAGTCCAAGTGATGAAAATAATGAAACATAGTTTCAGAATCGTCAAGTGGCAAGTAGTGCGGAAAATAAAAAGTTGTGAATCAATCAAATTAATAGAAAATTGTTTTTAGACTTAAGATCAATGATTCCAATGTGTCTCATATTCATGAAGATTCAATTACAAGTGTTTGAATGTAAAACACACTAAAACTCTCAAATGGCTCTCTAAAGACTAGTCTAAGCAACAATTGTGCAGAATGAGCAGGAATGATCAGAAAATAGCAACTTTATAATGGATACCAAGGGGCCTATTTATAGGCTTGACCAATCAGGTGTTGACACATCATCAGTTGACACCTTTGCCCTACTTAACGGAGAATGGATGAAATATTCCAATTCCATTAGTATTCCATTAGGGTTCCATCCAAGTTATGAGTCTTCATAATTCTTATCCTTCTTGATCAACATTGAAAATGTGATGAGCAACATGAGCATCATGTTGCTCAACTGTGTTCTTAGATGTCATCAACTTCCAGAAGTGTTGTTGACCATGTTGAGTTGTTCTTGAACGTTGGAATGGGTCTTGAACTTGAAGATGTATCACCACATGTTCATGCTGGACCATGGACGAAATTCATGTTCCTTTGAGCATTTAGACGTGCCTTCATTATACATGATGTGTTATGTGCAGTCTTGTTGATCCATCAATGTGATCATGTTGATCCATTGACTTGAGTTGAGCCACCAAGTATTCCTATTGAGCCAAAGAGTTGTGGATGAGCCAACAATGTTTTTGATGAGCCATCAATATTCTAGATGATCTATCAATGTCTTGATGCTCCACATATGATCTAGGATGTGCCATCTAAGATCATGATGATCTAACTAGCTTTCAACAAGTGCTCCATGTCAACAATAGGTGCTCTAAGTAAGCTTTAAGTGCTCCAACATATGATTCTTCAAACACTTTAAATCTTCAATATCTTTCCAACCTGAAACATGTTGATAATGTTTCTTAGAGAGATATATAAAAGGACTCAACTTATTTCAAGTGACAATCACATACAAATATTTTCCAACATCCCCCACACTTCTCGCAGATATCATAGCTCCCTTGACTTCCAGTACCCATGTTAGCAGCCTTGAACTCTTCGTCCATCGCTGAATGAACCTTCCTTCTCTTTTTGAGTCGTGTCTCCACATCAAGATCTCCTCCAGTAGTCATCTCTGTAGTCTCTCTCACAATCTGCAAAGTTGTAGTTCGCTCCTCGAACTTAGCAATTAGCTTGCAAGTGATCTGATCCATGATACTCGACTATTGTTCTTGCAATATTTGTGAAACCTCAACGACAATCATCTCCCGCATCTGATCAACAGTCAACCTCAGCTTATCTTGTCCCTCAGCTCCAGATCCAGAACGAGATCCTCGTGTGAATTCCATAATGAAAACAAACCAAGATGCATCGGAAATGCCACAATACACTTGGCTACGATCACCTGACGAGACTACCCCTTGGGTTTGGGACTTACTTGCTACATGTACAAATCATGTGCTTTCAGTAGTAGGGGTCCATACTACCTTCCACACCTACCCATATTTGTCTTAAGGATCATCACAACTACCCAAAACAAATATAACAACTAGGATACTCATACAACCTATTCTCACTCTCTTAAGAGAGACGAATCATTCGAAAACTAGCTTGCTACATCTATACTCACTCAAAATGATACTACCAACTCTGATTAAAAAGAACATCTTGAGTACTACATACTCCCTAGGTATCCTAGGATCCACACCTCACCCTATCATCAACTGGAAAATGATCTCCATTGTGCCAGTTAACTACTGCATGAATACAATCACATGCAACATAATTTAAATAATCTTTGATTAAAAGATTCAACCCTACAATGGTTGGACTCAGACAAGATATGAACAATAGGACCAAATCCTTCACTCTAAAATTATTTAACCCATGTAACATGTAACTTAACGTATTCAATTATTAGTTAATTCACACCCGAAAGAGTCCTACAACAATAAGAAAGAAAACTATATAAGAAATAAGGCATCATACATCAGACAATTTTGTCATGCAATTCCTAAAGATCTCTACCCTACAACTAGCATGATGTTCTACCATATCATAACAAATAATAGTGTGGGTAACTTGGGGTATACTTTCTTGCTCTGGGTGATCATACACATTGCATCCTTCCTTGGTTATTTTTGGAAACCATTTAAAAACTTTTGTAGCTCCCTAGTTTGAGTCTGGATTCACACAAATGTTCATCCAATTCTCTTAAACCAAGGCTCTGATACCAACTTGTAATACTCTAAAAATCAAAGAAATTTAAAATTTTCAAAATCAACCATTTAACATCATTGTTTACAAAAGAGTCATTGTTTCCAAAGACATTATTTGAAAATCAGAGTTTTTCCCAAGACCCAGTAACATAAAATAGGAAGAAGTGCACGAACACGCCTTCAACTTCCCACGATCCTTTGAAGTACCTGAAACCATAAACTAAAACTGTAAGCTAAAGCTTAGTGAGTTCCCCTAAAGTACCAACACACCACATAACAAACAAGCATACAAATATGAGCAGCCAGCTTGACCAGATCGCCTTGCAGGGCCTATAGCCTATCTGGACCGCTCTACGAGCAACTGACCTGAATGGACCACCCTGTAGGGCCTACAACCTATCCGGACTGCTCTACTAGCCACCAACTTGACTGGACCGCCTCGCAGGGCCTACATCTTATTCGGTCATTCCCAAGTATCCTGGCCTATAACACAAAGCAGGACCGCCTCAACCCAACACAATATGTCGACATTTGTAACAGATAAACATACACATAGAACCAACAAACATAGATAATCATACAGTTCTACCAATTGGCCATGTACTAGCATATCATTATCCTATAACCAAGATACATAAATTGGTGGGCCAACATTGGTGTCTTCGACCTATGGTACAGTGAGGAAAACTCACCTCACAATCTGAAAATAGCTGAACAACACACTGCTTTGAATGTCGGCTCTACAAATCACATATTGAACAGATAGAGACCAAGATTCAACTACGACTCAAAATACCAAAAATACCATTAAGTTTAGCTTGGTCAACCCTAGTCAAAGTCAAAGTCAAAGTCAACAGG